CACCAGGGCTCCTTCTAAGTGAAATTGAACAAGACATGAGAAAAGCAACCTAACAGGCTCGAACTGTGATTTACTAATGCCGGTCCCCATGTAGCATCATTCATCACATCAACGTGATCGCTTTCATACCAACACCCGTAAATCTTAGCATAGAAGTAAAAACATGATGACAAATAGTCACCTCCAAAGATGAGACACCCCCCCCCCCAAATCAGCACGCCAAACATCGGAAGGAATTGAGGCAAGACCTCAGGCCACCAGCGCTCAGTGTGACAGACAGAGGAGGACCCAGCTAAGTTACAATTCATCCTATCTGGCTGCTTTCGGAACCCAGGAGATGCCAGCTACCTAACGTGAGCATTTACCTTCACTAACTTGCCGAGCAAGGCGAGGACCTCTTCCTGGAGCGGCCCGGCGGCGGCGGGGAAGGTGAACCACTGCAGCAGGTGCAGGAAGAGCAGCCGCTCCTGGACCAGGTCGGCCGGCAGGACCAGCCCGTGCTCCACCTTGCACACAATGCTCCGGAGCGCGCGCTCGCGGATCTCGGCCAGAGGGTGACCTGTGGTGGGTGGGCGGCAGTCACTCTCCAGACCCGGAGCTCACCCTGGCGGGTGCTGTCCGCTCTGGGGCGGCCGGGCAGCGGGGCGCCGTCTCTCGCCCAGAGACACTGCGGGTGCACACGGAGGCCCGTGGGACGCCGTGACCGGAGGCCTGGGATCCGGGGTCAGGAGGATCTGGGGGGATCTTGAGGGCCAAAGGATCTGGGGGTATAAGAGATCTCTGGAGGGCCAGAGACTCTGAGGGGAACAGAAGATCTGGAGGGTCCGAAGAATCTGAAGGCACCAGGGGATTTAGGGAGACCAGGAAGACCTGGGGTGGGGTGGCGGGGGGAGTCCGGGCCCGAGGACCGGAAGAATCTGAAGGGGCACGGGAGTATCTGGAAAACCAAGGGGGGTCTGGAGGGACTATCAGAGAGGAGGGGATGTGGAGGGATCTCAGAGGACCTGGGAGAATGGGAGGAATCTGGGGGACAAGGAATCTGGGGGGGTAAACGAAGGTTCTGGGGGCCGAGGAGGTGGTGGACAATCATCAGGGAGCCGAGGCTGCCCCGGAGGAGCCAGGCCAAGTGAGGGACCGCCCAGCTGGAGACACCCGGCCATTGCCAGGAGGCGGCCTTGTCGGTGGACACCTCAGCGAGGGGCAGCGCGGGGTCTCGGTACATTACCGAGTTTCCTGATGAGTCCTGTCAGGACCATGTCGCCCAGCTCCGCCACCGCCGGAGAATTAAACCGCCGCGCCTCGGCGTCCGTCAACACTCAATGTCCCACCGGAAACCCAGCCGGCCGGACAGTGGGTTCCGCTAAGTCCGAGGGAGCCCCAGCACCAAGGAAGTGCATCCCGCGCGCTGATCTCGAGCCCCCTTCTCCAGGGAGGCTTACAGTCGCTGTATTGATTGCTTCGCAGTTCCTAGACGCGGAATGAAGCTGCCCAACGCGCTTCAGCCGCTGTGCACCACGGGGGTTGTAGTCCTCGCCGCTCCGTGCTCCTCCCCCGAGTTCCGGCCCGCTCCCGGGAGTGCCTGTGGAAGGTTCCGCCTACCCAGCGCGGGCTCCGACGCGGGCTCCGAAGTAGCAAGCCACGCCCATCCTCACGCCCCGCCCCCGGTCCTAGGCCACGCCCACACCCCGGACCAGCCCCACAGGCTGCTCGGAAGAGAGCTGGAACCTGTGGATGGATAGATAGTTAGGCTTCTTTGTCTCGTTTTCCTTTGTGAGGACTTTTCCCCATCGTTGCTAGATGACGCTCCATCTCCTGCCTTTGGATATGAGAACAAGTACAGACTGTCAGAATCACACACACACACACACACACACACACAAACCCAACTCACTACCATCAAGGTCATTCTAACTCATGGCGACCCTATAGACCTTGTAGAACTGCCCCTGGGGTTTTCTCTCTACCTTGTAACTCTTTACGGAAACACAGTCTCATCGTTGGCCTGTTGAGCAGCTCCTGGTTTCGAACTGCTGCCCTTGAGTAGCAGTCCCACTCATAATCAACTATGACGCTATCAGGGATCCTTTAGGAACACACAATCGGGCAGGAAACGGGGTGAGTAAAGAAAGGTAAATAATGGAACAAAAGAAAGAAAATGAGGGTGGGAACTGTTAGCATTTCAACCACGGGGTAAAATCGTATTTAAATGCCGTGAGTAGTATTTACATGTGGGAGTGAGTTAGTAGTGATGCCGACAGTGTGAATGCCACGGGTTCACCTTTGCACCTGGTACAGTCAGTGATCTTCCTCAAATGGGACCCCTATAGGACAGAATAGGATGCCCCTTTGGGTTTTCCAGACTTTAAAAAATCTTTATGGGAGCAGATAGCTTCCCCTTTCTCCCTCAGAGCCTCAGATGGGTTAAAAACTCTGAAAGTGCAGTTAGCATCTCACTGTGTAGCTCACTGTGCCAGCAGGGTGCCTTGCCTCATCCACCTGAAACCAGAGGCTCTAGAACAGTGGTTCTCAACCTTCCTCATGTCGTGACCCTTTAATAGAGTTCCTCATGTTGTGGTGATGCCCCCCAACCATAGAATCATTTTCGTTGCTACTTCATAACTGTAATTTTGCTACTGTTATGAATTGGGTGACCCCTGTGAAAGGGTCGTTCGACCCCCACAGGTTGAGAACCACTGCTCTAGATGGTGACCAACACTACCATTGCCCCCCATTCTGATCTGGGTTACAATGGATGGGTCCTGAGGGAAGGGAAGAGAAGGGTGAAACAGAACTTAAATTCTTTAAAAGCTCAAATTGACCAGACCAGCTGAGACTAGAAGACTCCCCTAAGATACTATTTAACCTTAAGCTGAAGTTATGCCTTGAAGTCATAGACTGGCTCACAAAATAATCTCATATGTGAATCATGAATAACCTTAAAAAGTAATGTAAAAACCTACTGTTTGTGTAAATAGTTTCCAGTTTAATCTGTGTGTGCTTCATAGTCACCCTTGTATAATTTCCTTTTCTCAAAAGTGTTTTAAATTCTATACTATTGGCTAAATTAGTGACACGATCAATGGGATTATCTTGTGCCCCAGAAGGATGATTGATAATGTTCTCAAAGATGATGTCTCTAAGGTGAACAACAGGCATACATAAACCATACATATATGAATGGATTTGAGGATGGCACTTCATTCTAGCCCTGATCTAAGAACATTAGTTCATCTATGTGGCCCTGCTTGATGCTCAACTTTATGAAGAAGTCACTGAAGATATGGTTGCTAGAGCAAAGTGTGTGGAAGAAACTAGATGGTATCCTGCTATCAGAAAGACTAACTGTGGTCTTAAAAGCTTGTCTTTACGTCGGACAGGGCAAGATATGACAAAATACCCATTTATAAACTATCAAGGGCTCATGCGGGAGGGGGGAGCGGGGAGGGAGGGG